ACACTAATGAATCTCTACCTGTTTTGCAAATAGAAATCACAATTCTGACATAATTGCAGCGTCCACACATAATCAAAATGGTAGGACATACCAGAGCTGCAAATGATGTCACCTTGGTGTTGGATTACATTCCTCACGATCTTAGCCAGAAGACATCCAGTATGTATATATCATCTAGTATTAGCATTGCCTATGTTCACTGTCCATATCAAGGAAATGATTGATGAGCATAAAAACAATTAGTTATAGGAGTTCTTTAGTGAAATGGAAATAATCAGCATCACAAGTTAAATTTTGAGGATCAAGTTCATTAACTACATACACACATGTTTGTGTGCATTAAGAGAGATAGAGAGTTTGCACGTGTATATGTGATATAGAGGACCATGTTAAAGATGATTCATTCTCTTTAAGCCTTAATTTGCGTTGGGCAGCCCTTGCCAACAAGAAGAAGAAAAAGAATAGAAGAATACTACAAAGAGAAAGACTCCATAGAAGAAAAAAAAGACTAAGAAAAAAAGACGACCAAAATAGAAGATGAAGAGTAAGACTAATGCTTCATTTGGTACAATGATAAAATGGAAGGATGGAAAGTTGGACGGATAGATAAAATATTATGTTTGATAAGAAAGGAAAATAGGAAGAATGAAAAAGTGGATGGATTAACTTTCCTTTCAACTCACCAAAATCAATCCCTCCAAAATCGGAAGGAAAGTGGATGAAAAGTTAATTATTTGTGTTGAAATGTATCTTATTTGTCTATATATATATTATGTATACATTAATTTCATATAAAAATATAATGATAACACGAATCGAACTCGACACAAATTTTATGACACGAACTTGATTATAACTCGACATGAACTTAAAAATGACCTGACACACAAACAAGAAATATAAAAGGCTCATAATTTTATGACTTAACACAAATCTGACATGGTACGACTCGATTGTCAATTTTAATCTTAGTCATCACAAAAAAAAAATTAATATTTTTATTTTTCATTCATCCAACCAAACACAAAAGAAGGAAAACGTATTATTCTTATTTTCTATCCTTGAAGGATAAAAAGTGTATCCTTCCTACCAAACAGAGCATAAGAAAAAGAAGACTATAAAGAAAAATAGAATGAGAAAAATACAAAAAGAAAAATAATGAAAGAATACGAGAAATTAAATCACAAAAAAGGAAGATGAGTAAAAAGAAAATGAAGAAAAAGTATTACAAGAAGACTACTGTGAAGGATCTACCTCCCCCTTGCCGGGGATATACCTCCTTCCAAGAGCATTCCCTCCCCAATTACCGAGGATATCCCGTTCTCTATCAAAGGATTTTGGCTAACTTACGGACCAAACACCCACAGTAGCTTTTACCTCTGTCCCACATCGGGGAAAGAGTCGTCTCCCCACCCCTATATAAGCCGAAGCACCATATCACATAAAAGGCGCCTTTTATGTGAAGGATCTACCTCCCCCTTACTGAGGATATACCTCCTTCCAAGAGCATTCCCTCTCTAATTACCGGGGATATCCCGCTCTCCATCAAAGAATTTCGGCTAACCTGCGGACCAAACACCCACAATAGCCTTTACCTCTGTCCCACATCGGGTGTAAGGGGGAGGTAGATCCTTCACAACTACAACATGATTCAGGGTCACGATATCAACCCTCGACTCAAGAAGCCAGTGAGACACATTAGTCGCGGTACTTCATACACTTAAAACGTTATGTAAAATGCCTAATTTTTTTGGTAAAAATTAAAAAAAAATTGTAATACATGTAAACATCAACATCCATGTATCATATCTCCAAAATATATTATTTAACACATTAATCATTGTCGAAAAAAATAATAAGGGCATTGGAATATTTTTTTTTCATTTAATAAGTAGATTATTAGATATTTAGATACCAAAACTAGTGAATATGAATATCACAATAATGTTTTTTTTGGTAAGTCATAATAATGTTAATATAACTAAATTTATAATTTTTAAGAATTATAAAAAAACTACAAGTGTGTATATATAGTTTAATTAATAGTTTTAAAAATATATATTATTTAAAAAATTGTCAATTTAATAAGTTAAGGTTTAATAATTAAATTAGTAGATATGTAAAATTTTAGATTGAATAAATTCTAAAAATATATGGTCTTAGTTTGCACACGTTTGTTTAAAGAACTATATTATTGGGATCTAAAAATTTGATTTAATTGATTGATACGTTAATTCAATAATTTTTATTAAATCATATTTATGTACTAAATTATATCAAATTTTTAAATTCCAAACTCTTTGGAAAAGAAACGTATCAATCAATTGATACGTTTACGTTGGAAAAGAAAACGTCGAATCAAAACCAAATAGTAAAAAGGAAAAGATGTAGAGGTGGAGCTGGAGCTGGAGCCGCGTCTCCGTCGACGACGAACCAGCGACCGAGAGAGGGAGAGGGAGAGAGGGAGAGGGAGAGAGAGAGAGAGAGGAGGGGGAAGACAGAGACTGGATCTTGTCTCTAAAGAGTTGCTATTGCGTGTGGAAAAAAGCGCCTACTCCTTGGGCTTCTGCATCTCTGCGATGAAGATGAAGAAAAAGATAGTGAAGAACAACTATCAGGGCTTTTGGTCTGGATGCTTTTTTGGTATGTGTCTAAGTGCTAATTCTTCATCTATTTATGTAATGGAGAAAAGGGAAAAATTGACTGATTTAGGGTTAATTTTCTATTACATCTCCTTTGCCTTTTTTTTTTTGGGGGGGGGGGGGGCATT